AACCCAGGAGGTGGAAGTCGCAGTGAGCCGAGATCACGCCACTGCACTCCAGCCTAGGCAACAGGAGGAAACCCTGTCAAAAAAAAAAAAAAAAAAAAAAAAAAAGGTAAGCAAAGCCTATTGCATATGACCATGGAGGGGATAATGTAGAAATTAGTGAGACTGAAAAAGCTAATTCTGTTCTTCAATTTCCCTGCCAAATCACTGAGGCATGTTCTCTGTCAACATTGTTGTGAGCATGAATAAAATCCAGGGAAGTGGAAATTCTATATCAGATGAGACAATGTTTGCAAAATAGCCCTGGGCTGCTTTAGGAAAATGCTCCATAAATGCAGTTTCCTCCCCTCTTCCCCTGTCTTCAAATCATGAATGTAAATCTTTTAGATAAATTTCTGAAATAGGACACTGTCCTGAAAACCAATAAGTCCTTTCCAAGAAGAAAATGTCAAATGCAACTTACCTCTGCCATCACTTCAGATGCACGGCAGTTCTCTCCTCTTCTGGATTCCTAAAGAAAGATGTGGGAAAACATTAAGAAGCCGTAAGACAACAATCCCTCCCTGAACCCCTCGGGAGGCCAAACTCCTACCCCACCCCAGGCACTGAAAGGGAGACCAAAGAAGCTGCAACCCCACCGCCCTCTGTCATCCTCACAATGAAGTGCAGGTGACCTTAGGGGCCCAGACAGGAGTCCTGGGAGGGCCCCCCTAGACCGTAGCCTTCTTCCTCCCTAAGAGACTAACTTGGGAAACTTTCAGGCCTAGCGTCTTACACTGAACCCAAAAGTGTGTGGCGCCAAGACACAGCTTAAGTGGACCCACCTGTCAGGGTCTCAAACTCCTGTCCTTTAGGCTGGGGTCACCTTTATGGGCCTAGATCCCTGGTGGCTACTGGGTGAAAGAACAGAGAAGTGGATATAGCAGGAACTCCCTAGCCCCAAACCCTAGAACCATTTCCACCCTCAACACACACTAGAGATAGACCCGGTGGCGGGAAGGCCATTCACAGAGATTCACTACTTACTTAGCAGTCGCAGTTGGAGTTTGGGTAGGAGGCCAGGACCCATCCACTGGGCCGACCCCGCCCAGCGTATCCCCAGAATGTGCAGCGAGCGTGTCCCGCCCCCTCCCAGGCCTCCCAAAGATGGGGTCGACGACCCGGCACCATGGGGCTTGCCCGCGCACACGCTCACACTTACATGCTCAGCCACACAGAATCCCGTGCAGACAGGGCTCCCACCACAGCCCCGCGGGCACATCGAGCACAGATCGCCAAGCACCTGCCGCTGGGCGCACAATCCAGGTCCGGGGAGAACTGCACAGACTTTTAGTCCAGCCAAGAGGACGCAGGGCCGCGATACCCCAGACCTCCTAACATTCCCAGCCCGCTCCTGCGCCAGCCTCACACCACACTCACTCCTTGCAGTCGCGCGGCCAGACACTGCCCTCTCCCGACCTGGGGGCCAGTAGCCCTGACACTCTCCTCCCATCCCGACTGCACTGCCCCGACACTCCCTTCCTCCCCCATCGCACAGCCCAGAGCTCCCTTAGCGGTGAAGCCCGGGCATGCAGTCCGCACATCTCCGAGAGCCACATGACTTTTAAACTCCAGACAACCCCAGTCCCGCGCCGGGACGCCTCACCGCCCCCTTCGGCGTGCTAGCACTCAGCTCTGAGCAAGTTCATCCCAACCCAAGGAGCTCCGCAGCCCGGGACGTTCCAGCCCTTTGCGTTCCAACCCCCTCCAGGTCACGCGGACTAGCCCCCTTCGGCCGGAAGTGGTTGGGCCGCGGGGCCCCCTGGGAAATGTAGTCCAGAGGTGGGTGCGCCACCCGGGTCCTGGACAGCACCACGGTCACTGGCACTCACAGTCATGTCCAGTTCCCCGCCTCCAGTGAAGCCGAGGCCAGACTGCCCAGCCGCGCCAGAGCACCCTCCCAGGACCTGGGCAAATACACAGGCCCAGGCAGCAATAGGTGGCCGCTGACGGCTAGAAAAAGGCTGTGGGGCCGTGGAGGCTTCAGAAAAATGCAGCCGCAAACGCGGGAAGGGGCGGCCCGGCCCGCCGCTAGGGCTTCCAGAGTCGGCGAAGTTAACCCGGCTGCAGCCGCCCTTGCCCCAAACGGAGGGTCAGGGAGTGGGGTTTGTGTGTGTGCCCAGAGGCCTCTCAGAAGTGCAGTGAAAAGCCAGGGAGCAGACCACCCAGGGTTCCCTCCACAGGGAGCCGCGCTTTGGGGTGGATCAGAAGAGGGCGACTCCTGGCCATGCCACGAATTAGGAGTCGGCCCGGGCCTGGGGCTTCCATGACCTGGGCCACAATCCCGATAAAGACCGGTGGCTAAGTTTGGGCTGGGAATTCATTCCCCAGCCCAGGTCTTCTGGCATCTCAGCATTTAAGTCACTAATGTCTGCTCGGGCCCGGCCACAGGCTGGCCTGGAGGGCGTCAGGGAAATGACCTGGCCTAGCGGTTTGGGGATGTGGCCTAGGAGAGACTGAAGCGGGGCAGTCACAGGCTCAGGATGCCGAAGGGACTGGAGGAGGATGAGGGATACTTGGGTCTGCAGTGGAAATAAAAGAAAACCAATGTAATGGGCTGCAACGTCATTATTTTAGGATTAAGTTGCAGATGAATATTTAATGACAGAAGTACGTTCGAGAAATACTTTAGGACATGGAAAAGTGTAACTAAAATAAACCATGTATACTATATTTTAAAATGTTACAGGCCTGGCGCGGTGGCTCATGCCTGTAATCCCAGCACTTTGGGAGGCCGAGGAGGGTGGATCACGAGGTCA